TACAAGCGAAGCGTGCCTAGCCACCCCGCTTTTTCAGTTTCGTCGAATTCACAAACCGCGCATGCTTCCCTGTATTTTTGTAGTATGATTCCGCATTCCTCAAGTACTTGGCCACAATCCCATCCAGCAACGCCTTGTCGTTTGTCGGGTTCGGTGCCGACGATCCTGCATCGCGCTTCAGCTCCAGTGTGAATTCTGCCGACACTATGGCGAATGCGCACCAGAGCGCCGCTGCAAGAAAAGCCAGGGTCCGTGGAGTAGACATGATTTGATCAGGGACGTGGGATAGCGCGGAGCAGCGGATTCACAATGTGATTCTCTGGCTTTCCTTGGCTTGGATCAATGCCGCGATGGGTTGCGTGGCGTCGCGTTGCGTTGCGTTTCGCTACGTTGCGCCACTAGTTGCTTCGAGCTCATGCTTTTATATGTTGGCACACTCAAAGTTTACCATCACTGTCCGGCAATTTTTCCGTCCAGTGCCATGCACGTCCCTTCCTGAAAATGAACCATGCCAACCATCATTTTTCTCTCGCACATGCGAGTGTGTTTTAGCGCGCCAATTGCGCACAGTTGACCGCTGCAGCACACACGCCCACAGAACGCGTGCGTTGTCCCCCCAAGCCCCGATCACGCACTGGGCGCCCTTTCATTGGCCTTGTCTGACAGCTGAGTAATTGCCAAAGGGCAAAAGCCAGGGGCGTTGCGGACAATTCAAACTGTCTTCGCCCGTCGTCCATGTAATCTCCGTTGCCGACGAATCAGTCTCGGCGATGTTCTTCCCACATGTACCAGCCAAATTACGCCGGCAAATGACCTGATCTGCAGGGCGCGCCTCAGACACACTGTCCAAGACAAATGGAATGATAGATGCAGGTACCTTTGGTGGCTTGTGGCTTGTTCCTCGATCGACGACTATAGAGAGTGCCTGCACCTGCACGTGTGTTGTCCACGGAACGCTGATACTCGCCTGGAGCAAACGATCTCTCGGTGTGAGTGGCGTGAACGCTCGGAATCGTGGACGTGATGCGAGAGCTAGTCGTAGAACACGAGAGAGAGAGAGAGAGAGAGAGAGAGAGAGAGAAAGAGATGACACCCAGAGATGCTGTACAAAGCACGAGCCTAGAGATGCACAGGAAGGTCTTGGAGAATGCCGTGTTCAAACTGACTGGTTGGGAGACCATAGACATGTTTCCTTTTACACAGACCCTTGGGATGCGTTTCTCCACAGATACATGACAGGTGAGAAACAGTGTGTCAAATGCGTAGTAAGTAGTCTTGGGACATGGCCTACATAGTGCGAGTTTGTGAACTATGAAACACGCGTATAACAGACCTGTTTGTTAATCCCAGCACTGATCGCCCCTCCCTCTCGGTGAAATGTGCGCCGAGCACATCATAAACACTTGCTCATCGACGGATCTCACGAAACTTGGGTCCAAGCAGCATGGAAGGGGAAAAACACGAACATCTTGTTTCGAGAGAGCAGTACTAGAAAAGGTCGAGTGTCGTCAACACAACAACCGCATTCCATAAAAGAGGGTGGGTCGCAGCGTGAGAGGAAAGAGGCATGAAAGTATATATGAGAACCTGGCTCCATTCGGGACGAGGAAACAAGACTTGGCGCGTAAAATGAAATGAATACAAGCAAGACGCACGACTACCTCGAGCTCAGAAAACAATCGCAAAGGTGCAGCAAAGGCGAGAAACAAACAGACAACGGTCAATACGTTGTGGCACACAACTAGAACATGAATGTACAAGAGTAGTATTCCATGCCATTACATGCAATGCAGCTACTACTTATTTTTTTATCATACATGGGTATATTTGGACCAAGCGAAACCTTTAAACAATCATACAAAAGCACCGAGCGCCATGGGCGGCACTCCACACCAAATGCGTGCTTCACAGTAGTCAACCTTTTGTCTAGGAAAGTAAAAAGACGAAAAAAAGGGGCCACTGTCGCGAATACCATGCCCATCATGCAGAGCGATCCAGCATCAGCTAGACGCACAGCACATATTCCGAATCGATCATTCTAGTTGTCCGATGTCTTCGTAGACGCGAGTGCTGAAAATGGATTCGGGCCTGTGAACGTTTTGGCAGGCAATTGAGGGCCTGGCACAAACGATGGAACCCCGGTCGTCGTAATGGGGATAGCTGCGGCGGCCGTAACCAGCGCAAGAGCCATAGCCATCATGTTCAGCGAGAATTGCATGTCCAAGTTTCACCGAGTTGCAGAGGACCAACAAGACTGGATGGTTACCGACCGGAGTATCCTGACGGAGTAGCTCTTTTATACACGGACAAAGCCCAGGCGCGTCATGCCATGTGTAGCTCAGTGCCAGCAGAATTTGTTTACGTCCAGCGCCATTGGCCCCATTCATGATCGATCTTTGTCCCTCACTTGATCTGCATGTATGTTTTTTACGAACAAGCTCGTGCGTGATGCAGCCCTTGATCACCTCCTCGTGCCTAGTCACATGACAATCCCGACAATCCCCCTATGGGAAAATTCCATGCGACACGAGTCTATGTGATCTTGGCCAATGATGGATGTCGATCACTGCCGACCTCCCCGGCACGTAAAGCCCCCCCCCCCCGGAATGCGAAAAAGTTTGTGTGACTTTGACTCATGCCATAGGCCCAGCACAATGCACAGAGTTCCCAAATTAGAACCACCAAGAAAGTGAGTGACATGGGCGTGCAGGGACGGTGGAAGATGAGAGGCATTTTTTAGAAACAAGTCAACGTAAGCGTGTTGAATGGCCATGGGGGTCTTGCTCGTTACATAGCATGGCGTCAGCATGCCAGAAGCAAATCAACTCTTGAATGTGAGTAGCCAAAGCCGAAAATGACTGGAGACTGCACCATGTTGTCGAGCGGGCGGGCGACGCATGAGATGGGTACGACACGTGAAGAATAATGGCACACGCACATCAAGTAGCGCTACTAGCGTGCGGGGCATGGAACGAAGCAAGAGAACGAGCACGTGGAAGTTGACGGACAAAAAATTATA